GGACTAGTCGGCGAGCTCTCGCGGGTTTTTCATCGGAACGGGAGCCCTGAGTAACCCTCTCTCCTTTATCTGGAGAAATATCTCCGTTCGAGATGCGCCTAGGGGGGGCAGAGGAGGCCTCGGAGCGGGTAGGTCGGATTGGTCCAGCCTGCGCCTAGTCGCGGCAGGCTGTTGTCCGCGAGCCGGTTCCGGTCTAACCCTCACGTGCTTTTCCTGCTTTTCGGCCATCCAAGCCTCAACGCAATGAACTGGTTTGCCCGCTGAAGCATCTCCGGTACCGCGGAGGGGGGTCTCTCGACGAGGGACCAGAAGAATCGAGAAGGTCATAGTCCTGTCATGAACGCCTGCATCAACAGAGAGGGGTGAGCGTCGGATAATCCCCGGATCTGCGTGGCAAAATGGTTCACAAAGTGGGGGAGGGACTCGTCCTCCCTCTGGTGTAGTCCGAGAAGCAAGGCAACGGACGGTTTCGGTTGCGCGCTGGCTAGGAAGTTGAGCTCTAAGTCTCTAGCGAGCTGGTCGAATGAGGCGACGGTCCCGGTCCTCAGGCCGCCATACCACGTGCGGGCTGGTCCCCTTAGTGTTGTGGGGAACGCCCTGCACATCAGAGTGTCAGAAGTCCCATACAGTGCCATTTGGGTGCGGAAGGCGGCTACGTGGTCCGCTGGGTCGGTGGAGCCATCGTATGTGTCGAGAGAGGGGAGATGAAAGTTCTGTGGGACCATCTGATCCCGTATTTCGAGGACGAATGGGGATCCCTGATGTATGTCCTCCCCGAGCTCTCCTCTCGACCTGCGGACCTCTTTCTGTACCTCGTCAAGCCATTGACTGACGAGGAGCAACTAGGCTCGCAGGGAGTCCGTCGAGGCCGAAGGAAAGGCCTCGGGTTGGGTGTGGACCCTCTGGTCCGTCGTGACTCGATCCATGGGCGGGGACGACGGGACCCAAGGCGAAGTGGGAAGCTCCATGGGCTACGCCTGAACCTGAGCAGGCGGCTCCTACTATCGCACCGGTTCGACGGCCGGGGGGTGCAACGTTCCTGAGACGAGTGGAATAATGGACTGTATCATACCGATTAGAACTTGGACCTAATGGGTGAGGTCGAGAAAGGCTTCGGACGAGATGGGCGGTGGTTCGGTGGAGGGGGCGTCGGGCGGTAACAAGCCCTGGTCGTTGAAGATTCGCCAATAGCGCTCTGAAGTTGCGGCGGGGTATTCGCTACGGAGACCTGTCCGCGGGGGATGTTCCCCTAGAACCCCGACCGGATGCGCCCCCTCGACTGCGGTTTCGGCCGAGTCGGCTTGGTGATCCCTTGACATGGGCCCTCCTTCTAGCGCCATTATGTTAGTGTAAACAACTTTTTAGCCGTGACCTCGGGGCCGACGTGGCTTAGTTCGGGTCCGGATGACGGGTCGCCGAATCCTTCGGGAGGAGGTCCTTTGCCAACGCACCCGGAGAGAAACGCCACGCCTTCGTCCCTGCACACAGGTCGGGACGGGAGAGCTCGACCCGACCCCTCCGATGATCAAGTCAGTAAATAATCGTAGTGGTGTTGTTATCTATGTTGCCTCTTCTTTTCGTTTGGAATGCAAAGGTATTTATAGGGGAGTTCGGTGTTACCTGATGTGCCTGCCTGTAGGGGGTGGGATCGTACCCTCTGATGGCGTCTGACATCGCTATTGGCGTAGCTTGCGGAGTCGAACCTGAGCGGTCGTTAATGGGCCTCGGTTGGCGTTTCGACCCGTGTCAGTCACGCGGTGTTGGACTAATAGGGGAGTGGGACGTCAGCGGGTGTCACGCAAGTCTTATCGTAATTATTACCCTCATCAGGAGGAAGCCTAGGGAGATGCATGTGCGACTCACCAAGCGCTTCTACTATTGTACTCAGCCCTCTGGAATAGGTATGAACCGTGGCGTCTTCAAGCGAGAAATCGATCGTAGTGAGGAGATGTCACGCTTTTGCATGAACGACGGTGGGGTTGCTAGGGGCGGATGAGCAATTGGAGTATAGGCATCATAAAGCAACTAAGGTTCTTTAGAGCTCGGTGAGGAGCGATTGCTATTGTCGGACAACGAGAAAAAAACTTGCTCTAGGCAAGAGGCTATGATACTATGATAGAAGATATGTTTTTCATTGAAGTTTATTGATATGTTTTTCCTATTTATATCATGACAGAGGAAGGAGTGCCTTTAATAAAATAGCAAGATTTTCTCGTACAATTAAGAAAATCTTATCTGATATCAAATATATATGAGATACACTTATCATTAAGGGTGAAGATCTCATTTGACATATATTTTATACGAAGCATTGATCGATGAGAGTATATTGGACCTTGTATCAAAATTCGAGGTTTTGGAAGTGTTATCTAATGTATTTTAGATGCATGTTAACTCTCTCGCAGCATTACCAACCATCGAAAGACATCAAACTTGAATTTGGCACAGCTGCAAGAGAGTGACTCGAAAGTTCGAGCCATTTCGTCCGCGTCAAGGAGAGGGCAGTGAGAAGAGACGCTCCTCCGGCACACTGCGTACATTTTGGCCCAACCTTGTTTTCTGTAGGCAAGTGGAAGCAAGCTCCAAAGGAACAAGAAAAAGACCCAAAACCAGCAGGGTCGCTTCCGAGAACAACAAAACAAATCCAAGGAAAACCGAAAAGGCAGCAAGATTTATTCGGGAGATTGGAGGAGGGGGTGTCACGAGCTCACACGGCTCTCGTCCGCTAGTGGCGACCGGGCCGCAAGCGTGTGCGTGTGCGCGTGTGTGGGGGTGGGGGGCGCGCGTCACGTGGTGATGGCCTCCGATAGAAGCCAAAAACAAGGACATGAGGTTCGTAAACAGGAGTATGGTATTGGGGACCAAAAGGTTGGAAAGAAAACAAAGGTTTTGAATCACAAATAGTGATTTTGGATTTATGTTTCATTATGTAAACAAATAAAATCTAAAACCAATGTTTTCGTTTGTTTGTTTTTACAGTGTCGGTAGGAGTGTGTAATATAAGAATGTTTTTGTATAAGAATGTTTTTGAATCTGGTCAAGAGAGATGTGTAGAAGCAACCTTCTGTCAAGCAGGTCACCTTTTCCTCTTCTTTACCCACAACGCCGACACCGTCTTTGTTTGTTTTCTGCAATGAGAGATTATACCGTGTTTAAAAATTCAGATGCAGACAACACAGTCTGTCCCTACAATGCGTTTGCATAATTCAAACTCATCTACCGAACACAAATGGTGGAAGGGTAGATTGCCGCACTGAGCAAATTGCTGGTACATTTTTCCACCACAACATCACCCTTACCTGCATCGGAGGGAATCTACTACTGTCCTTTGCCCTTTCAGCTAATCACCTCTGTTTAATGTCATGAATTCAATCACGGAAAGAAGGGGGGAGTCGGTGTCAATTATTCGTGTCTAAAGTCGTGGCCCCAGCATTTCTGCAACTTTCCTGTTGCAAATAGTGTATGTATATATATAATTATATAATTAGATTTTTTCTTTTATTTTTATAGATAGGGTGAAAATGAGATTCGCAAAACCTTAGGATGATTTGTCAAGATTTTTACTAGTCAAGTTAGCCAGCACCTGTAGTTTCACTTTTTTTTTCTGTTTTTTGGGAAAGTTAGATATGATATGTTTATAATTTAGCATGTAATATACTCTTTTCTTAACATTATTACTATTCACTATCGTTATCGGTGATTAATTTTGATTAAAAATAAATAATGAAGTAACTAAGGTAAAACATGGTAATTAAATTTGATGGAAAATGTATACAAAGAATCTCTTTATTTTATACATATATATATATATATATATATATATATATATATATATATATTTGAGAAATAGTGTGACTGCTGTATTCTTGGATAATTTTTCACATTAAATATACTAAAAAGAATTCGTCATGAAAAATAAAAGAAAATTAGATATCTATCATTTACTAAAGTTTCAATGGATCATAATATATTTTTTTTATGGCAATAGTGTAACTACTTCAATCTTAAATTGTGTAACAACCCTAATCTTAAGCTATGGTGAAGTAATGCAGTCCTTATACTGTTTCCAAGAAGATCTTATAATTTATCAGAACTTGACTAAATAGCATCTAAATCTGCTCAATTCTTATAGCTTTTGGGGGTACATCCTACTTTCTAAATTGCAGTACATTTTTTAGCTTAAACCTGAAGTGGAAGAGTACTGTACCCTTTTCTTTTCTTTTCTTTTTTTGGTGTAATTTGATTATTCAGAGAAAAAAATATAGGATGAATTTTTTTAAAACAATCTAACTTTGAGAATTTTTTTGATAGTACCTCAACCTTCAAAAATTTTTATACAGCACATCCTTTTCCAAATTATCATTCTACTTCTATTAGCCACCCCCTAGTCATAATCATTTGGTTATACGTCTAATTCCGCTAGTCATCTCCTTCGCTTTAACTATTGTTCATCGCTCACAGCACAAGGGTGATCGCGTACAAAGGTGACTAACAACATAGGCTTTGCTATCACTAGACCACAATAAGTGCCTCTCCTCCCCTCTGTCTCATTGGACCTATCGATCATAACTCTCTCACAAGGAAGGAGGGGGTGCGAAGGCCACCGTTACCTCCTTCTTGCGTAAGGGTTATGGGCGATGTATGTAGAGATGAGATCCATTGAGTTAACAACCCCCCTTATTCCTTGCATAAGAGCTATGAGCAACAAATCTGACAAAGCAAAGGACAAAGAGAAATTGCTATTATGATCTAACAAGGATGCAAGACGACAGTATAAAAGAGGAGAAGGATTTGATCGAGATAAGGATAAAATAATCTTTTTATACGACAAGAGACGTTATACGAGAATTTTTTAAGATTAAAATTTTTTTCATAAATTCTTAAAATATTTTTTTTTAAATTTATTAAAAATATATATTTAATTAAAATTAGAAGGATATATATATATATATATATATATGTTAAAAGAAAGTGAAAAAGGAGCAGCCAAATTTGCTTGTGACACCGTCTCCTCTTTCACACACACGCATCCATCACTGAAGAAAAAGCACACCAAGGGAGACATAGCAGTGCAGTAGAAGGAAAAGGGAGCAGACTTTTTCGCCCATTCCCTTTTCCGACTCTCATATATCCTCTCTGCTTTCTGAGACGAGGTGGGAGACTTGGACGCATTGATGCCTTCCCGTCCGCCGCCGGCGGAACCGCCGGGTCCCCACCGGACCAACCACAACCACCATCATCACCACCACCGCCACGTCATTCCCATAGCGGCCATCGGAGGTGCCGCCGTCGTCCTGACCGTCACCCTGGTGGTGCTCCTCTATCGCCGTTTCGCCCGTGGCAGCCCCACCCCCACCGCCCCTTCGCCCCCGCCGCCCCCCGCTGGCCCGCTCCGTCGGTTTACCTACGCCCAGCTCCGGCGCGCCACCGCCTCCTTCGCCCCTTCTCTCCGCCTCGGACAGGGCGGCTTCGGCCCCGTCTTCCGCGGCGCCCTCCCGTCCGGCGAGGAGGTCGCCGTCAAGCTCATGGACTCTTGCGGTTCCCTCCAGGGTGAGCGCGAGTTCCACAACGAGCTCGCTCTCGCCGCCAATATCCTCGCTGTCCCATCCTACGCCGCCGCCGTCGTCCCGACCATCGGCTTCTGCTCCGACGACGATGGCCGACACCGGCGTTGGTGGCCTTGGTGGAGGCGGCGGGAGGCAGAAGAGCCACTGGAGCTCTCGGAAGCCGCCGCTGCCGCCGCGCCGCCCGGTCGGAAGCTTCTCCTGGTCTACGAGCTGATGCACAACGGAAGCCTCCAGGACGCGCTGTTGGACCGCCGGTGCCCGGAGCTGATGGACTGGCAGCGGCGGTTCGCGGTGGTGCTCGACGTCGCCCGCGGCCTCCACTTCCTCCACGCTGTCTGCGATCCAGCGGTGATACACGGCGATATCAAGCCGAGCAACATCCTCCTTGACGCTCACCTCTCGGCCAAGATCGGCGACTTCGGCCTCGCCCGGCTTAGATCCACCGCGACGGAGGATCACCTCCCTACCGAGGAGGAAATCAAAGTCGACATCGATCTAGACAAGCACGCGGTGAACGATTCGAAAACGTCAGGAAAGGAGAGAAAGAAAGACTCGGTGACCGTAGGAGGGCAGGATGACGCCTCGGCCGTGACCATGGGAGAGACGGCGGAGAGCATAACAACGACTACGACTGGGTTCGAGGAGCAAGCTCCGAACGCTGGGGCGAATGGCATCGCCACCACCGACAGATCGGCGGAGGAAGATGAGGATTTCATGGTGGCATCGCCAGCTACCGCCGTGGACGTCGCCTCGGTTTCCGAGGCAGGAGTAGGCTTCGATAGAGTAAGCGTCGATAGTGGGAAGGACGCTTCCGCGTCGCGGAAGGGATGCGGTAAAAAGAAGGCCGGTGCTTCCTCGGGCAAGGACTGGTGGTGGAGGCAGGACATCAATGGCGGAGGACCAAACTCCGAGTCCGGAGGCAGCGTGAAGGACTATGTGATGGAATGGATTCGATCAGAGATCAAGAAGGAGAGGCCGAAGAGCGACTGGGTTACGGCCTCGACGGCCACTGCCGTCGAGGAGTGCTTGCCTAAGCCGTCCAACGGTGGGAGATCAGAGCGGAAGAAGAGTCATCGAAGGATGGAGTGGTGGGCCTCATTGGACGAGGAGAAGCCGAAGAAGAAAGAGAAGAGCCGGCCCGCTAGGGAGTGGTGGCGGGAGGAGTTCTGTGAGGAGCTGATGAAGAAACAGAAGCGGCAGCCAATGGCCAAGTCCAAGAGCAGCCATGAATGGTGGCAGAACGATGATGACTTTGCTTCACCTTCCGAGAAGAGTAATAGGAGGAAGAAGAATAGGAGCTATAGCCGTGGTAGTCGCAGCAGTATAGATTGGTGGATGGATCGAATTAGTGGGGAGATCAGGCCAACCGGAAGGAGAAGTAGCCGGGACTGGGCTAGCGGGGATATCCCAAAGAGTGGAACAGTGAGCAGCACACCAAGCATGAGGGGCACTGTCTGCTATGTTGCTCCTGAGTACGGTGGTGGGGGGCCGCTTTCAGAGAAGTGCGATGTTTATAGTTTTGGTGTTCTTCTGTTGGTTATAATCTCAGGCAGGCGACCGCTGCAAGTGACAGCCTCGCCCATGTCAGAGTTTGAGCGAGCAAACCTCATCTCGTGGGCTCGACATCTTGCCCATTTGGGAAGGCTTCTGGAGCTTGCTGATCCCTGCCTCCGGTGTGTGGACAAAGAGCAAGCTCTTCTCTGCATCACGGTTGCACTGCTCTGTCTGCAGAGATCTCCAGCTCGCCGCCCCTCCAGCAAGGAAATATTGGGTATGCTTACTGGTGAATCAGAGCCTCCACACCTCCCGCTTGAATTCTCACCATCACCACCAGGTGGGTTTTCATTCAAATCGCGGAAGAAGGCTCGGTGAGTTTAGACTTATATCAGCATGACCATTTAGCTACATATAGTGTCGATTGTACATTTTAGAATTCCATTTATTTGGAGTTGGATGTAGAAAAGTCTGAAGAGAAAGTTCTATTTCGATTATGAACGATTGATCCACATAATTGAAATATGAACCTGATGGAAGGGAGTGCTCTGAAACAATTGTCACCGTATCTGGCTGGTATCAGAACCTCATGCATAACTTACTAGAAACTCCTGCCAATAAAGGTTCCTATGATTCTGCCAGATCTTTTGCTTGTCTTTCTTTTAGACATGCATGATGGTAGTGCTTTCTGGGCCATGTGAACTTTTCTGTCTCTTCATTTTTTTTCAGTTCATGCAACTTTTGGTAAAGTAACCCAAGCTCTGGCCCATTTGTACCATGCCTTTTTGCATCAACCTTTTGTAATAAAGGGAAATAAGATCTCGAAGATCATCTTACTTCTTTCTTTTGCAAATTTAAATGCCTTGTCAAGTTCTTTATTACTCGTTTCAACAAGCAACCTAACTTCCAACTATCCATGCATTTTAAAATGGATTCACCTTTTTCTTTTATGTGCCCTGGTTGTTTGGTTTCATCAAACTCTTCTGCTAGCATGAGATGGCCTTGGTACCTGGTCTTCCAAAGAGATGTTACTGACAGTCCCAGGATCCATATCCAAGAGACAATCTGTATGAGAAGAGCAGAGAACATGTGTACAGGGCCAGATACTTTTGAAACTGGTTAAAAGAGAGTTTAGAAGTCATGCCATATATTTTACATAGACAGTAGTCTAATCGAAGATCCATGGCCAATACAGTTTTATGGAACTGTAATATTATAATTTATGGCAAGACTTTTCTAAGTTCCCCCAACCTCCATCTAACCAATATAATGATGGTCCATTGAATGGACATTTTTTTTATTGGAGGTCTGTGAATGACATTGACTAGATTCTGTCAGCTAGTTGATGTACTCTTTTTCATATATTGGCATCTTGAACAGGAATCAGGCAAAAAATAGTATTCAATTCAGGAAATGGGATTACTGCAATTACATCTCTTAAATCTTTATTTATAGTCTTGGGCTATAATAAAGAAATTGCATGTCAACTTGGTATTGTTGTCTCGAAGGCAAGGCATCTTATGGGATTGTTGGTATGAGTATTTTATTCCTTGAAAATTCATAGCAGATGCAGGTATGTTAATCCTTTTTTTTTAATTGAATATAACTCTATTGCTGGACAGTACTTGTTGTTTCTGCAAGCTAGAATCCTTTATTTAATTTCTGATACTGAGATATGATGGAAATTTTGAAGACATTGAGGAATATGTTAGTCAATAGAATTCACTCTACAAGAATTTGCTACCGATTATATGACTACCAAAAAGCTGAAGGCCCTTACCGATATTTCTCTTTTTTTCTCTTACATTTCTTATGTGTAGTAATTAGCTGTTAGTGCATTCTGTCCCATGGTGAAATTTGTCTTGTACTTCAGGTAGAATTTAAGCTTGGGTAGCCATTTAGAAGATATTTTTTCATCCATTTTCTGGACCCGATGCATGCTTTTATGTATATCTTTGCTTGCCATTCTGCAAAAGAAATATGTTATTGATTGTGCTGTTATGGCCTAATGTTTCAAGTCTCTGATCTAGCCAGTGATACAGCATATATATTATTTTCTTAAAATTTAATAGGCCATTAATGACTAGCTGTTACAGGATAATATGACATAGCAAGCTCCAGGCTTGATTAAGATTGTCCTTTATGTTGAGTCTTATCTAGTCTAGTCTAGAACATGCATTCTGTGACTTGCTACTACACTGCAAGCAATGAAGCTGAAAATAGAACAGAGGCACTTTTATTGCGTTATTTCAACTATCACAATGGTACTAGACATAAGAAAATTATGTTATAATATTATTATGCATCCTATATTTCCTAAGGTAGCTTCATTTCTTTTGTCTTTTACATATTTTGTTACTTTTTTCTTATTCTGCATTGATGTGCTCCACTTTAGCTATAAATCTTCCTGTAAGTGTCACTTAAAGTGATATTTTTGACATCAACCTCTTGCTGGCAAACAAGGAGGGCTTTAATTGATGGTTTGGAAGTATTATGAGTTGAAATAGTTGTCTGGTTTTTTATCATCATCAGTTGTTAGAAAAGATATAACCTGGACACCTAGCGCTTGATAAAAGGCCAATAGAATCAAACTCTTTTAGATAAGGAAGAGGCATGGGGATAAACAGGAAGATCTAATGATTGCATGCTCATCCTTTTTAAACTATTTGTGCATTAGGCTGGTTAAGTGTTGTCAAACTGGTACGTTATTTGCAGGGTGACCTTGCTGGAAGAGTAAGAGATATCAGATGTAGTCACTTTGTGGCCATTCCAAGCCACCTTTCTATCCTTAAATGTCAGTACAGACAATCTATGTAAACCTATTCTTGGTAAATTTCTGCTGCAGCTCTGCATGCAACGAAGTTCCAGTTTGTGCTATACTTGTCAAAGAATATGATGGGCGTCAATTCTGTACAGTTATTTGGAAGTTCCAGTATGTACTATACTTAACATTGACCAAGGATTGCCTTTTCGGGCACCAGACCCGTTTTGGCAATCTGTCGGACCAGTATGTACTAGTCGGTATTGGTATACTGACACATGATACGCCAGTACATACCGGTGTTTTGACGAAGAAGAAAAAGAGGGTGAAGAGGAAGGGGCGGTGGAGGAATAGAGGAGGAAGAAGGAAGAAGAAGAAAGAAGAGGGGTGAGGAGAAGAAGCAGTTGCAGTGTACCTGGGAAACAGTGGCAAAGTGGTAGTGGCAAGGTGAAAGTGGAAGCGGTAGCGGTGAGGGCAGCAGCATCGTACGTGAGAAGAGGGCTCGTGTTCGCAAGCCTTTAATTGTTTTTTGTTTTTTTTAATACTGAGTTGGATAGGGGCTTTTTTGATTTTTTATTATTTTAACCGGATCACTCGAAATAGGGGTGGTCTGCATATTGGCCTACGCCTAAATCGGCATGTACTGTTTCTGGTGGTACACCAGTCCATGTTAATGACTGCTATCTAGGTTTTGAGTCATCTTCCTGGGGCACACGTGCAAAGTGATTATTACTGGCGAACTTCACCAAGACATATCAGAGGTAAGAACTTGTTCAGTATCATTCATGTTAATTTCCAAAGATCTAACACAGATGAAGGATTCTCTTCGGCTCTTTCTTGGCTAAACCTGCATGTAAAACCTTACTGAATGGCTGAAGACTTTTCTTTTGAGCTACGTGTTTGTACATTTACATGATCTGTTTTTCCTTTTCCAGGAATCATGGTACAAATTGCATTTCTAATGTAGTGATTTATACTTTGCCTATTGGTGAATATTTTGCATTATTTAGCCGGCACATATCTTACAGAGTTGTTCTGGAGCAGGGTGGACAACCATTGGGTGAAACCATTGGAAGGTGAAGTCTGAGGAAGATGCAGCCGAACTCATGAAGAACATCAAATGGTGATGATCCGATTTCTCAAGTCTATTTCTTCATCAATTGTGTTAGGTGAAGATCAAGTCTTGTAGTTACCAAGTTTAAGAATTTAATATGGAAGTTTTCATTTCTTGGTGTTCTGATTGGATAGGATCAAAAGAAACTTTTATTTTGGAACTATGGTTTCGAATATAGGGTGTATTGGTACCCTATTGTCTGATATTCACGGGTCTTGATCCAAAATCGATATGCATATCATTCTCATCACTCGGTCGATCTAGTTTGAATTTAAGACTTATTGCTTGTTTTGGATGAAAAACCAGAGTACATGGTTTTGAATATCATCAGGCCGATCGCTGCCTACCCTATTATCTGATATTTACTGGTCTTGATCCAAAATCGATATATCAATCGGTCGGTCGGTCTTGTTCGAATTTTAAGACTTGTTTGTTTTGTTTTGGATGAAAAACCAGTGTATATGGTTATGAATATCAGGTGGATCGCTACCTACTATCTAAAATTTATTAATTAACTCAATAATGATGATGATGATGATGATTATTATTATTATCTTTTTATTTTATTCCTCTCGTGCTTCTTTGCCTCCAATTGCTCGCTATCGTCTCTCTTCTTTTCACTTTATAGTGTCGATCACACGCGATATCATACATATTAGACCTGCACTAGTCGGGACTTAAAGACTAATATAGATTATTAGTAATATGGATTTAGAATCATGATTTGAACAAAAGTATATATGTTTACTGAGAGTACGGAGTGTGGTGAAGTTTGAGGAACAATGTGACGAGATGCAGTGGCCATTAATTACTAGGATATGGCGGAAGGGGAAAGATTAGATTACGATATGGCACATTGTCCTTTCCAATTTTGCAATCACTGCAGTAATGCAGAGGCAGAACTGTGGGTTGTTGGAGAAGATTTAAAGACGGTTAGTTCGAAGGAATGGATTATTTAATATCGAAGTAAAAAATAGACAATAAATTGATGGAATGTCCATCCAAAATATTTTATCAATGAATATTATAAGTTGGTCTCACATCCCTACATGTTTCAGCTCACTATTTATTTAGCCTTTTATGCCACCTCTAATAGATTATCTCTCTCTCTCTCTCTCTCCCTTTTGCAAGCATTAAGTTAATATTAGTCATTATTTTGCAAAAATAAAAAAAATATTATTTCTAGATATACATCAAAATATATTGATCAGCATAATAATAATAATAATAATAATAATAATAATAATAATAATAATAATAATAATCCATCCCAGATAGACATCAATGATGTGAATCCTAAAAGCTCAACATCACTGACGTGAATTAGGATTCATTTAGACCCATTCTAATAATGCATGAGTACCTACTCACCGTCTTTGGTTTCACAATAATGCAAAAGGAGTCTCGATAGGTGAAAAGGTTGGTTGGTGGTTGGTCAAGAAAAGGAGATGGGAGGAGTTAATGTCATTAAATAATGGAGGGTGAGCAATCCAAAGCTCGCTACTTCGAGTCGATACTTCATCAATGAATGGATCAGTTGCAGAACCATCTTCAATTTTCTCATCCTTCACATCATTTAACACAGTTAGGCCATACATCAAACGACATTTCCTAATTTTTCTCCTTAAGATGCTATCTCAATTTGATAAATTTGAGGATCCCATCAAACTCACTTCAACATCTCTTCTTTTTCGAGGCCACAAAAGTACACCGACTTTGCTCTATTTTTGAGATGGAACTTTCTCGATTTAAGGCAAAATATGACCTCGTTCGATTTAAGGGCGTGGGGGCATAAATAAATAAAAAGTTGGGGGGGAGGGGAGGGAATAATTCACCTCATTAATTCCCGAATCAAATGAATCTTAGATTTATTTCCACATGATCTCAATGAGGTTGAACCATAGGCTAAGAACATTGCTGATGTAGAAAAACACCAAAAAAAAAAAACATAAAAAACAGAGGGAGAGGGAGAGAGAGAGAGAGACGTCGAGGCCAGAAAATAATTTACACTAGTAATGTGCATGTCCAACATGATACTACTACTACATTCTATGCACAAAGGAGCTAGAAGAAAACTGCTCCTGCTAACACAAGGTCAAAAAATATAGGCAAGTCAAAGGTTACACAATCTAGCTTTGGGAGCTCAAAGAAAACATCTATCATCCTTTGATGAAATCATCTCTGGGGCGAGCCCGGCACGTATGGCTGAAAGAGGGTGACACTCGGGTTTAAGTCATACTGTAATATATCTGCAGCTCGTTCGAATTCCTCCCTCAGGATTTTGATGCTGTACTTATCAACCACACGACCAAGGTCATGCGAGATATCAAATGGGTCCTCGATGCATATCAGATGACGATCGTTTCCGATTCGCCGTGTCCAGTCCTTTGCTCGCTTGCTGAAAGTTAAATCTTTCGATTATTCTTTTTTCATAAAAGAAATATTAAACCAGCTACTGCATTGGAAGATTCCTTGAGAAAGCAACAGTTGATAGCTTGAAAGAAAAGCAGGAACTGAGAATTTGATGAATGGAAAAAAAAAACATATAAATGAACATTCAATCGACAATATAAACATAATTCTGAGCATGCTGCTATAGTAACTTGTTAAAAGATGACAAAAGGGAGACTGAAATATTGCTGCATCATAAAGCCGGAAGGGATTAAATGAAATGGTATTTGTTTACGGATTTAGCAAATGAAATGCAAAGAAATCATCATTGGTACTGATGATCCATGTTAAAGTTGTATTTTAACTTAATTCAGGTGTCAAACTATACTGATTAATCATATCCCAAGAAAAAACAACGTTCATGCAAATATTTAGTAGGTACATGTCGCTGTTACCCAAAACATTCTTCAAATGTTCTCTTGCTTAACTATTTGTCAAATCCTTAATTGTGGGGGAAGCATCTCCGGTCAGCTCTAGATGACATCAGTGGGCACCTTTACAATCACAAGCTTTCAGAATCTTCTGTCAATTCTATTCAACAATAAGAGGTGCATTGCAATCCGAACGCAGATGCACTCGGGTTATGGACGAGTATCTAATGAGCTTAAGAATGGTTGTGGATCATGGATGACATGGGCAAATGGTAGAAAGACTGAGTTTAGAACGGAGGAGCAAAATAATTCAGAGAATAAATAAGTAAAATCTAAATACACACCCAAATAATTAAAGCAGACAGAAACTACAACCCAATAAATTTTCTGACTGCTATCCTCTGCTAATTGTTAACAAAAAAAAGTGCCGAAATCTGCCAGATCTTTGGAACACTGGATGGGAATCTGTATATAGCTGTTTCTATTCTCTTACAAAGATGTGACATGCAACATTAATATTTCTTTTTTTGGCTTTATTGAATTCACATAACATGGATCCTTTTAGGATGTCCAAATATATAGCAACCAACCCTTGGAAAAGCTAGTCTTCAGTAATTAGTCACGACATATGAGTAAGATCTCGTCATCCAAGAAAAAGATCATTGCATGGGCTTAAAAGTGAACAAGCCAAACATATTTTACATGATGTTAATTAATTTCTTGTTGTCCTGAAAATGGAAAGGCATATCCAGTTAAATTCATTAAAGCAAATAAAATAAAATAAATACAGAAATCCTGTGTTTCAAGATCAAACATGAAAAGTATGAAGATGCAAGCTGGAAGATGGAATCTTGCTTTGAAATGAAACTATGAAAATATTGAGTTCATAATTTGATGACAAAATATATTAGTATATATAGCAGAAAAAGTATAATGCATTCATATTAGATATTGCATCCTCTTTATCTTAAACTACTGATTTATTTTTGAAGAGATAAGATATTACCTAATTATGGTCCCTGTGCGAATAGATATAACATCGTCTGTGTAATCATGGTGATATGCCCAGTAATGGAAGAATCCCCAGAGCAATCGTGCAATACTTTCCTTATTCCTAGCACCAAAAGCATGCAGTTTTTCCACTCGATCAAAGTAAGTGCACTTTGTATTTTCTACTGTAACAGTGTATGTAGCATCCATTGCCTGTATGTAGCATCCATTGCAAAAGAATCAAACTTTCTATATTCTTAAAACAGATATTATAGCAAGATTTTAATAGAAAACCATTTCATGGATAAGCAAACTAACAATGTCATGATATTTGATATGACAATACTTTGGAATGTGCATAATCATATAAAAGGTTTTAAATATTGATCAGACCATCACATATTGACCTAATCATTACTTACTGATCCAATTAAGGATGATTTGGTACCAGTGGTTTTCTATAATTATAACCAATGGTGTGGCCAGTGTAACAATACCACATCAATCCAACAAGGTGTCGCAAACCAAGATTTTAAGACATGATCATATCAATGATTGAATTATTGATTCTCAAAATGTTTTCGTCTTTGACTTGTCAAGAAATCACCTTTCTGTTCATTCTTATAAGAGTCACACCCCCTTCATGTGTGTGTGTGTGTGTGTATAAATGAAGGGAGAAAGGGAAGGAGGGAGGGAGAGAGAGAGAGACTTGAACATGGGTCGATTAATATTAGCCAATTCATGGACTGAATTGTGCTAGGATTAAGAAAGCTAAGCTACAACTATCAGTAGGGGTGTATTATGGTTGACCATGGAACATTTTCGCAATGGTTTCAGCCTCATCCATGAAACATTTTCTAGCTAGAATTAGCATCTTTAACTTGTCTATAATCTCAGTACATAACAAACTTAATTATTAGCTATTATGACTGCTGGCTACTGGACTTTGTTATGTTAGCTACTTGGAAACGACCTTTGTAAAGTATCTGAAAGTTTATGAACGAAAATAGAGGTGGTTAACAGTCCAGATGATAACATGGATTGGCAAAAGTTTTACAAGCTAATTGACATAATTAAACCAACTAATGTCATATTAGAAAATGGAAAGATAAATCTGCATCCATTTTAGGAAAAAAAGAATTTTAATTTTTGTCTCTTTATAAATATTAGATATTTGATCTGAAGTTACTGAAAAAGTGAAACCTTCTAGAACTGAAGAACTATCATAAATACCCTTTGAGGTTATGTATGATATATAACTCTTGCATTAACATATGACAAATCTGAATCTTAAAAAACAAATCTCCTGCATATATCATCCTAACCCACGGAGAAAACCAAAAGCCTGCATACCTGTAAACAAGGAAGAATTGCAGGTCTTCGTAATTGTAGAAAGTGAATGCACATCAGCACATAGCTGGAAAGAAAACAAAGTTCATAATCAACATCAGTACAAGGCCAGTGCAAGCAAAGAAAAAGGACATTTGACCATGTATGAGTGATGGCGCAACTCACGCATAACTAGAAAGAGTCCCTTGATATGTTTCATTGACTCGTCGTGACCTGGCCCAATGTTTCACAATGAAAGCCAACTGACGTAGTCTTTCATCAATTTGTGCATAATCCTTAAGAAGCTTTGTGTTAACAACTGCTAAAAGATTGTTCACACATATGTCACAAGAAAGTCCAGTATCTGGATCCATCAGCTTCACTATGGGGACTCTAGCACGAGTTAGTGCCTGCATCAATGAGAAACTTCAAAAGAGTTAGTATGGAATGTTCCAAACAAAATAGAACAAAAATTATCTCATCTCAGCTATCTCTAGACCATGGTCACATGTTTCCTGTCTTTTTTTATGTTCTTAACTTCTCATGTCAACTCTTTGAAAAATTATCAAGTGGGGGCCAATACTTACCAGAGGAGAAAACCCCCAAAGTAAAAACCCAGCATACAGAATGGAAAAATCAACTATAGAAGAAAATACCATATCTGTTCAACCTATGAATGAGAGTATTTAAGTCGTGCTAATGGTACTAAAAAAATTTGTGAAGAAGAAGAGATTATTGCCTACCCATCATGATCCCATTTTAAGAAAATGGTTAAGATATCAATCCATTTATGCAACTTTTCAGTGGCATCATGTCATATCCTGTATGGAAAATAAATATATCTGCAAAGATTAAAGGACCAATGATATTTTTGGTGTATTGGCCAAAAAATCACAAGCCAGCCTACCACCAAGACTTGAACCTGAGTCTCTGCACAAGGTGAGCTGAGTTATCTAATAGGACGAACCAGCTCTTTTGACCAGGGATTGTCAAATCCAATCCAACAGATGATATAGATTATAAAACCTGCCTCTTCTTTGCTTTAGGGTTCTCTTACTAATAATTTTACAGTTGCGTTTAGACTTGGCAAGGAAAGATGAAGACAAGAAATGCTTCATTTATGTTTGCGCTTTTTCTAAGGGTGGATGCCAACAACACATGCCATCTATTTGTCAAAATTGGGATGCAAGAGGCAATTTAATCCTTCAACCACAGAATAATAAATGTATCTTCTGCTTTTATAGTCTACATCGTTGCTTCCTCCTTTGCAGGCTTCCATTTTGCATAAAATAAGAACTTCATAAAAGAGAGTGCAAAGGAGAAAGCCCTCTAATAATATGTTTGTGTTAAAGATTTGAACAATAATAAGATAATATTCTATATTTAAATGAACAAGACAATCTTCTGTTTTCTTCTTTATTTTTCAATAGGCATAGGAGGTGTGAGAAGAGAACTGGTGGTAGTGTGATGGTTATGTTTATGAAAAGATACATATACAACCAAACATAATCTGGGTAAAGCCTTATCTTTGATACATATACAAACTGATAGGCTCAACATGTACTTTTTGATAACTATGTTGTTGAACAAAAAACACAACATTAGTTGTAAAATGCAATTTTCTAAAAGATTCATCAGATGAAAAAATTATAGAAGAAATTAATATCCGATCAAGAATTTAAAACTATTTATCATAATCCAAAAATAGGCCTATATTACTGAATAATACCACTCAGTGCATTTAAAAATTATATGAGATTTTATGCAGGTTACCTGGACATTTTGCAGGTTACCAGACTGTAAAATATCTGCCAACTTCAACAAGATATCGGATTTGCTCAAGTCATGATCATCAATAGCAAGACAGACATCAATGTCACTTTTTGAGACCCCAAAAGAGTTGGCACATGATCCATAAAGGTGCAGCTTGGCATTTGGCCATTCTTTAGTCACCAAATTCTGTAGTGACAGTATTAGTTCCTTCTGCTTAGCTTTTTCTTCCTCTGCAGGTACTAGGGACTTAAAAATTGTAATAAAGCTGGAATTCAATGCCTCTATGTCATGGCGGCATTGGATTGCCCTTCTTTGAATCCTCATGCGTTGAGTTGATACATGATGCCCTCTGAAAGAGTCTGACCTGAAGTCCTGAACAAAAAAAATAGAAATACCACAAAAACACTCAAAATAAAGTAAGAAATAAAAAAGAATGGTATACCCTTTGTCACAGTTAGGCCCAACTGGGAAACAAAATTTCACACAACCATGTAGGGGTTTCTGTCAGTTTAAAAACTTCAATGAGTTGTCCATATAATAACTATAGCTTTTCAATAAGAATTTTGTAAGTATAACACAGCAGTTTAAATAGGTGCATGGGTGCTCGGGGAAGGCGAGCCGAGGCCCGAGCACCTCAAGGGTGAACCAGGCGGCACGCTTCAATGAGGTGCCTCCCGGGTGCTCGCCTGAACACAAGCGCTGAGTGCCTCGAGCGAGCACCCGATTCGAATGAAGCAACCGCACCAGACTTTTTAAGTCTGGTTCGATTCAACAATGGCTAGTTGGTTCAATCGAACCAACTAGCCACTTTCTTACCCGCAAAAGCCACCCCTGTGCAACCCCGAGCCATCAACCCTAGCGCAGCTTTCACCTCCGCCACCAATGCTTTCTGCTGCTGCCTTCACTATAGACATAGCGGATCGAGGCTTCCTATGTCATCGACGGCCTAGCTTTCATCCGCAACTTCCTCCCGCCGCTGTTGCTTCTGTGTGCAATTCCTTCCACCATTAAGAGAGAGGACCGCAGCTTCTTCCGCCACCGACGTACACCTCAAAGCTTCCTTCGACCATGACGTCGCCATTCGTAGCTTCCGCCGTTGCCATTGTTGTCGTCTGCAGCTTCCTCCATAGCTGCGGTTGTCATCTGCAACTTCCTCTACCGCTGCTGTCTGCAGCTTCATCTATCGCTATCATCCAAAACTTTCTCCATCACCACTGCCCTCTCCTTCCCCACTTTCCATCGTCGGTGACACTTTTCTCCCCCTCTAACTACTATTAACAGTAGATTGTTAACTATTGTACAAAACAATCTCTATTTAGATTGATAACATACTATTTAGATTTTAACACTGCTAATCTCTACTTAATTAAAATTATTATTAGGGTTTTAGGATTAATGAAAAGTAAACAAAGCAATTCAGAAGATTCTTCAAAAAATTCAAGAAAGAATCCTGCATAGAAATACTTGCATCTTTTGTGATAAAACTAATAGAGGTGGTATTTTTCGTGCAAAGTAGCATCTAATAGGAAATTTCAAGAATGCATCAGCTTGTAAGAAGTGTCCACCTGATGTAAAAGAAGAGCTGCTAGCTTATATGACTGAAAAAAAGAGATAAAAAAATGAATCTCATGAGATTTTACTAAAGGATAATGTTGAATATATTTGAGATGATGAAGAAGAAGATTATTCTGCAAGTGTCAATCCAAGTGGAAAAAGAGTATATGACAGAAAAAAAAAGAAATCAAGATTGTTAAGAAGGGTAAAAAGGGACCAATGGACATATATGTATCAAGGATCACAGAAGCAACAAGGGAAAGCATGAGCAAAATTAAGATAAACAAATATAAATGATGCTTATGATAAGGAAGTAAGGAGAAGAATAATTCAGCATATTGCTCGCTTCTTCTATCTGGAGGACCTTCCCCTTAGTACTTGTCGCTTCGATAGTTTTAAAGAGATGATTAAAGCTATTAGAAGATATGATGGAAGATTATACAAACGAGTTCTATTATTTAAAAAAGAGTTGGATTATACAAACGACTTATTAAAGGGCTACAAAGAATCATGGGTAAATCATGATTGCTTTATTATATCAAATGCTTGAATCAACAGGAGACATAGGAGTATAATTAATTTTATGGTAACCTGTTCTTTAAGAACTATATTTGTAAAGTCAATAGATGCATAATCTTTTGTGAAATCTAGAGAAAAGATATGTGATTTACTTAACAAGTTTATGGAAGAAATTGGTGAACAAAATGTCGTTTAAGTTATAACCGATAATAGAAACAACTATGTGTTAGTTGGTAAGATTTATCTTTTGAATTTTCTAATCTTTTAATTACTATATCTCTATTTAAATGGAAGAACTATGTGACTCCTAAGTCTTATCAATTTTCTTATTCTTTGTCTTAGGTAAATTACTTGAAGTAAAAAAGCAACACTTATATTTGACTCCATGTGCGACACATTACATTGATTAAATATTGGAGGATATTGGAAAGATTCCTAAAATCAAGAAAACTTTAGAAAGGGCAATTTTTATCGTTGAATTTCTCTATAATCATACTGAGGCTTTTAATATAATGAGAGAATTCACAAGCGATAGGGAATTAGTAAGATATTGTGTCACCCAATTTGCTACTTCTTGATATTATAAAGCGTGCATCATAGTTTACCTCAGAGAAATGGGTGACAAGCAAATGAGTAAAGAAGTGAAAGGCAAGAGGGTCAATGATATAATCTTAATGTCGTCATTTTGGAAATTATAGTTTATATATTAAAGGTAATGGGGCTATGAATAAAGCAAAGGAGACGATTCAAAAATTATTTGATTAAAATGAAGAAAAGTATAAAAAAATATTTGCAATCATTGACGAAAGATGTAATTGTCAACTTCATCGTCCATTACATGCAGCAGAATATAATTGGAACCCAGAATTCTTTTATAAGAAGACTACCGTTGGGTTTGATGCAGAAGTTATAAATGAGTTATATCAGTGCAATGCAAGATTGATTCCAAGCCTTGAGGTGTAAGATAAAATTATACGTAAATTATCTTTATATACAAGTACCGACGGTTTTTTTGGAATTCCAATGACAGTTCGATCTAGGACAACTACATCCTTAGGTATTAATAAATTAATATAATTAATATCATGTATAATATGTTATTGCTAATAATAAACTAAATTTTACAACTGAATGATGGAGTCTATTTGGAAATTCCACCTTGAACTTGCAACAATTAGCTATCAAAATTCTTAGTTTGACATGTAGTACTACGGGTTATGAGCGAAATTGGAGTGTCTTTGAGCATGTAAGAATCACAAAATATTTTTGTTTCAATTAATCTATTCTTTTTTAGATAGATATATTAATATATTTTCGAATTGTATGACATGACAGATTCACTCACACAAAGAGACTAAATTAGTTAGAGCATAAATGATTATATGATTTTGTTTATATAAAATATAATCAAGCAATAAAGACTCGTCATGCTTTATGAAATAACATTGATCCAATCTCATTATAAAACATTGATGATTTAAATGAATGATTAGTGGAAGAAATGAGTGCAAACTTGCAAGATACTAAAGATGAGCTTATATTTAAAGATGACAACTTGACATAGGAAGATGCGGCAAAAGCCTCAGGTGTTGGAGAATTACAAACTTGTTTAAGATAGATGACGAAGGAAAAAATGAATGTAAAAGCTTTAAGCTTATCTCTTGCCATTATCAAACAGGAGAAAATATATTTTTATGAAAATGGATGAGATGAACAGAAAGATGATGATATATTTGAGAATGACGATGTTGATTATGACGATGATTGAATTTGATGCAAAACTTTATTGTTTTGAGTCTTTTAACATTTTTTGTTATTAGAAGATAGGTAATGTGACTTCGTACTTTAGATCTTTTTAATTTAATATCGTATTTTAATTTATATAATCATATTTATCAATTATATTATATATTTTTTATATTTTAATATTTCAAAGTAGCTGGCTTCATGCATTTTGGGACCTTGGCACCTAGCGCTTTTTAAATCACTAGTATAACATCACCAAGTTCATTTGGTAGAAGTTCCAGGTAAAATCACTTAATATGAGTTTATTTTTTAAAAAGAACATCAAGGAACCCATGTTGCATTAGCATCTTTACTCCCTTAGAAGCTAAAATTTTAAGTAAGACATACTAACAAGCAACATAAGAAAAGGTTCAATGTAGAATTTAGCAAAAACCTAGTAAATGGCAATGTAAGTATGTATCCATTACAAGTGGATCTAGGAAGGTCCACTTGCTAGAGTATGAAATGTAGAATACTAAAGAAGACTAAAGTGGTATGTTAGAGAACTGCTCAAGTTCAATGTAATCTATAAATGTCCTTAAATTTTATTCGGCTTATTAGATAACTCAATTAAAACTTCCCATAGATGGGACACTTATTTTGCAATGTAACTATATGAAATTTAATTGTTTTGAGTTCTTAACGTTTTTTTTTCATCTAGAGTAAGCATCAAATATATTGCACCAGTAGCAACAAAACTAACAATGAATTTGTCTTAAAGGAATTGTTTCTGTTATACAAAATGTAGTCCATCTTGATCTTTTAGTTCTTGATTTCAAAAAATGAACAATCTCAATACAAAACAATTGTCCAGAATAGAATATGCAAAACTACGACAAGTACACTTGATTTTCAAGCATTGCTAGTGGGATTAGCTCAAATCGGTCAATTAGTGTTGATATTGGTTTACCAATGCTATGAAAAGTGTTTTACGTATTATTATTATTATTCAAAAAAATGTACAAATAAAATTTTCACCACCTTGATTAGTTCCTTAAACTTGTGATATTGTTTACTTCTATATGATTTCTCTAATTTTTTTATAATTACCACTAGGAACTTCGGACCTTTATGTAACTTTTAGGTCCAATAGTTGCTCAAAGATAGTGAAAACCAAATTTCTAGTGGTTGACATCTCCTCAACTTACAATGCCATTATCAACTACCTCACACTCAACTATATATGAGTCGTTGTGCCAACCTACCATATAACCCTGATTCCCAACAAGCTCAAGAATTGGTGAACTAAAAGAGTGATTCGAGAGAGTCAAGCCAATGTTACCTGATGTCGATCACCCTACCCGAAAAGGTAGCGTTGTCTGTCCAACATATAATCCAATCTAATTCAGAACCAAGCTTACCACCTGCAAATTTATTGCATTGGGCCTATTATCGAATTATACTGGGTGGTAAGCTTACCACACAATACAGATACTTATTGCACCTTTATTTTCTTCTTTCACTTCTCCTCTTCCATCATCAATTCTTCTCCATCTGCTACTCGTCCAAGTTGCTACATTGCTACCTCCTCCCTATTGCCATTGATTGCTCCACCTCCTCTACTTGCTCTCTTTCTCTCTCTACATTATATTACACACTACCAATCGGACCAAGATTTTAATCCGTAATTGATCACACCAGTGATTTAAAAAGGCGCTCGAGCGAGGTAAGGCGAGGCCTGAGCACCTCGTTTAATGGCCAGGCGATGCACTTCAAAGAGGCGCTTGCCCGAGCCCAAGTGCCGAGCACTTCGGGCAAGTGCTTGGTTTAAACTAGGTGACCAACCGCAGCAGCGACAACGAAGAGAGGCAGCGAGCGCCCAATTAGTTGGTTTGATTGAACCAACTAATGCATGCATATTAGCCTTCCCCTCCTCGCAACTTCCCCTAACCCTACACCCGATTCCGCTGCCTCTCTCTACTATCGTTGCCTCTCTCTGCTACCACTGCCTCTCTCTGCCACTACTGCTACTACCGCTGCCGTTGTCGCTGCTATTGCCGCTACTCTCCGCTGCCGCTACCTCTCTTCGTTGTTGTTGTTGTTGCTCTCCGCTGTCGCCCACTGCCACTGTCGCTACTCTCCACTACCGCCCACTGCTGTTGCTCTCTACTACCGCTACTCTAAAACAGTAGCCTCTTGTCCGCAACTCAGGTCTCACCATGACTCAACTTCTCACCTCGATCTCCTTCTCACACACTACTATTCTCTACTGCTATTAACAAATAAAGAATATTTTAAACTATTAAAATATATTTTTTTAATATTTTAATATTTTTATAATAATAAAATATATTTATTATATTTTAATATTTTAGAGCACCTTGCTTTGTTCGGGCGAGCGCCTAACGCCTCGGGCGTTTTGGGACCTTGGCCTTTTAAGCGCCTAACGTTTTTTAAATCACTAGATCACACTCATATGCCATGCTTCAAGCACAATGATTATGATGACAAGAATTATAGTGAATAATGGTGGAACATACAACAATAATTTCATGGCATCTGATGATGGTGATGTTGGAAAATTAAAAAGATCAAACTAGCTATGGGTATTGGATCTAGGAACAAATCTCTATTTGTAAAATAAACTGCATAAATCTTGGTCGAGGAGTAACCTTCATGCAACTATCAGAGACCAAATAACAGAGAATTAAAAAAACAAGATCCATCACAAGGGCATGGAATAAGAAAGTGTCTAAGGAAAATATGGATGACAACTCAAAGAAAGTACTAGTAGAAATGTTTTCACATCTTTAGCTTCCCATCAAGAATGATATTGAACCTAAAGATGATATAAAATCTGGCCATGATCCCTATATTGATATGATCATAGCCAAGTCCATGCACTTATATCATCATACCACATTATGCTTCCACATGTCAAATCTCCAGAACAAAATCTAATATTGGAAAGCACATGGAGATTTATCATCTTATCCATATTGACCTTGTAAACAAGGTTGTTACCAATCATAGCAGCAAATATATGTTCCCATACTAGAGCTTAAACTTATTGTTCTAGTCTCTGTCCACCGCAATCACGTGCAACACAGACTACATGAGAGAATGTCCAAAAGGTGACACCCAATGGATGAGCTTCCACATATCAGTTTTACCTCTATGCCAAATCAAATCTCAATTTGTGGAGGACAAAATGAGTATAAGACTTCACTCACGCATTGCATCTGTAATATGGGATCTGGAATCAATAACGTGAAGATATGTTGATTACCTAGATGACCTCATTTACTATGCTTACTATCAATGGATATGTACTATGATATGATGATTATTCAAGCTTTTTATTATCTTGATATGGAAGCTGGAAAAGTTAATTTGATAAATTTAATGTATGAATCAAACAACATAATTTGCAAACATCCCAAGCAACAAATTCTAACAGAACTTCAATAATCTAAAATGCAAGAAGAAAATTATAAGCATTAGAAATTAGAAAGGCTGGAATCAGAAAATAGAATATATAAAATTAAATTAAATCTCCCACCACATTGTGAAGTGAATGTGTACAACACAACATTTATCATGAAACAGCTACCATGGCTACATTAAATACCTATAAAGCTTGAGTTGAACAATATTTAGTAATGACCATTGCATGACAAAAAGAGACGTTAATAAACCAGCATATTTGGAATTAAATTCAACAAGAATCACATACATCATATGAGTTAATAAACATTCAATGCAGATACACATATCGATTGCTAGGTTGACATCTATTCTAACACCAGAGCCTAAATTTTATTCAAATAATAAAATTTTTATTAACATAAAAGATTAACAAAATAAACATTATTTTTCCTATTTTTACTCTAAATTCTTTCAGCATTTAATAACTTCGAGACAAATTAAAAAAATTCCTTGCACAAGGAATCACACCAAGTCAAAACTTATAAAGCTCAGGCTTTAGCTATAGACTCATCCTAAATTTTGCGTTTGAAGGGAGAAAAAGATAAAACAAATGTATTCCAATAATCAGTAGAACAATGTCTTATGGATCGGTTGTATATACATAGGAAGATGAAAGACGGAAGTAGGATGCAAGAAAAGAAAGAGTCTCAAATTACATGACACAAAACTAATATGAGAATCATAAAAATTTCAAACTTCTGATAATATTTTTCGTGAAATCTCTATCATAATTCATGATCACATTATATTAAAGTTAAAAGAAATGATAATTATCCTTTGCATTGATGGCTACTTAGAGAAAATCCAAGCAATACTTGAGGAAAGGGACTTCCATAAATTCCACATTTAATAACTTAACAGCCACAATTAATTGATTCCAATTTTAAATTACAATTAATTCTTAGACCAACTGCTTGTATGTCAAATCTCACATATAATAAATAATAGCCAGAGTAAACTGCTTCCAGTTTAGTAGTATGATTTACCTTAGCCCGAGAGCTGCTTGTATGTGTCACTATATTTTGGACTTCAGAATCAAGCCTCAACATTACTGAATTCTTCTCTGACTTGCATAACTCATCTTCTTCACCTGAAGATTTGCTTTTGGAGGAAAAATCAACAATTGCACCCTGGCCTTTGATCTCCAGCTTTTGCATGCTTACTTTGTTTTCTTCTTCAAGGACCTCATACTCTGAATCTTGATCAGATTCCTCAGTATCCTTATCTCCGACAAAACAAGAAGTCTTGCCATGTAAAGCAGAATCAAACATCCAACTCCTACGCTTATTTTCATCAGGAGAATTGTCATGTTTACCTAGAGAATCCCCAGACGCTCTTCTCGGCAGAGCATCTGTCATGGAAGAATGAGACGCATGGTCCTCTTCCTTCTGACTTCTGGCTACCATCCCCAGATTATGATTCCCATCCCTCCTCTCACGTTCACATCCCTGCTCTTGGCGTGTGTGATCCAGTGGCCTCCGCTGCCCTGCCTTCATCGTTGACCTCTGAAACACTGAATTCCTATCTCGCTCGCGATGGAACTGGTGGTTCCTCTGAGTAGACCAACTTGATTGCGTTTTCTGCTGAATCAATCTGCCATCACTACTCCAACTCCCTGATCTCCTATCAACCTCAACTGCACCGCCATCCTGCAACTTCTGGAACCCCGGTGGAGGTCTCGAAGAACTCCGATCTTCCCCACCCCGAGGGCCCAAAACCTTCCTGCCTGGCACCATCTGATCCACAAGAACCCTATCATTCAACGGGCGACCAAGATTTTGAACAAAATCGCTCCTTGGAGGAGACGCAGCAAAAAGATGGACGCCGCCAGCTGAAAACCCTAGTCTTTGGTGGTCGAGAGGAAAGAAGGGGTGCTTCTCTGAACCACCGGAGGGCACGACATCGCGGCCGACGAGAGGAACGAAGCCCGACGGGGGAAATAGACCCGGTGGAAGGCCTTGAGGCAAGGAGAAGGGAGGGGAGGGGAAGACGAGGGGCTCCGGGAAGTGCCCCGGCGGCGGAGGAGGAGAGCGGATGTCATGGGGAAAGAAGGGGTGGCTGGGACCGACGGCGGCGACGGCGGGGTCGATGTGGTGGCGAGGAAGGGAGAAGGGGGAGGCGGAAGGTGGGGCGGGTTGAGGAGGCTTTTGGAGGAGTTGGAGGAGGAAGGCGCCGTCCAAGGGGGTCGGAGGGGTGGGGTTACCTTGACGGCCGGTGGCAGCATCAGAGGAGGAGGAGGAGGAGGAGGCAGCACCGCTGCCGCGGCCGTCAGCCATCCGCTTTCGCCGCCTACGTCGGACGGGACGGAGAGATCAGAGTTGGTGATGAATTCGATGCGAAGTCGTTTTGTTGGGAGGAGGAAGAGAGTTTGTGTTTTGCTTTACTTTATATGTGCGCTTTCTTTTCTATGCCTTTTGATCATTGGAACCTTTAGACATATTTACCCCTATAATTATATGCATTTTTTTTAATATATATATATATATATATATGTATATATATAATTATATATATATATACATATGTATATATATACATACATATATACATATGTATATAT